TCCTGAGATGTGATTATTTACTATCTTGGCTGCAGATGGTGGTCGTGGTGGTGATATAGGGTCAGAGGCTTCTAGTTAGACCTCCCCACTAAGATAGCTATTGTCTCACCAGCTGTCGTGGTTCATTTTATGGGTCGACTTGGTCAAATACTAGTCTAGATATCGGTACAAAATGTAATTAAATCAACTGACCCTCCATGATGTGAGTAGACGTCATCCATCAGGTGAAGGCCTTCAGAGCAAAAGGGGGAGGTTTTCTGAGCAAGTATTCAGCCTCTAAACCAGTGGTTCTCAACCTTCCTAATGCCGCGACCCTTTCATACAGTTCCTCAGGTGGGGGTGACCCCCCAACCATAAAATTATTTTCATTGCTATTTCATAACTGTCAGTTTGCTACTGTTATGAATCAGGCGACCCCTGGGAAAGGATCGTTCAACCCCCAAAGGGGTCGTGACCCACAGGTTGAGAACCGCTGCCCTAAATTATCAATAGATACTGTGGTAGAATTCCAGGTACTCCCCATCCCCACCTCAGCTGGAATCTTCAACCTGTTGCCTAACCTGGGTTTCAAAGGGTGGCATGCTAACCTTAGCTCCAATGAGAAGGACTGCTGTGCCAGGTGGAAGGGCCTCCCAAGGCTGAAGGATCAGGACCATGGACACAATAGCCTTGAACGATGGGGCCTCCACTCAGGACTCCCGGGACTCCATTCCGGGTTCAAAGGTCCCAGAGGAGCAAAATATAGACCCAAACTCCAAATCATAGGAACAACTAAGCTTACTGGTCAGGTAAAGACTAGTGGGTCCCCAAGACTCTGGTCCTTATTCACCATGCATGTCTGTAAATGGTTTCATTCACTAGACAGATGTCACACCTTAGAATAATCAACATTTTGAAATCAAAAAGGTTGGAAAGAAGGAGGGATAAAAGCAGGAAACACAGGGAGGAAGTGGAATGAGTGATGCTACAATGTAGGGATTGCAATCAATGACATGGCATAAAATGCATACGAATTATTGAATGCAGCACTGGTCTGCTCTGTAAACCTTCACCCAATTCACAATAAAAAGTAAATAAATAAATATAAATATTTATATATGATGAGGGGGAAATAGATCAATGCACATATATTTATAGGTCGAGTATTAAGAAAACAGATGGACAGTGGGGCTCCACACAAGTACTCCCCCAACACAAGAACACTTTGTTCTAACAATTCGGCAGTCTGAGATGTTAACCTACCTGACATGATCGCTGAAGACAATGGGTGCACAAGAAAATGAGGTGAAGAAAGCGGATGATGCTTGGCTACCAAAAGATATAACACCTGAAGTCACTGAAGACAATGGGTGCA